AGAAAGGTGGTGTACAAAGGCAATAGAAGATTTATTCTGGAATGACTGTACTCTGGGACGGAAGGAGTTTGAATACACCACCCTTAGAATATCCTCTGTATATTAATTGATGAGACACTAACTAAAAAATCATGTGTCGTTCAAAGAGCGATTTAAGGAAGTCATTTAAATTAACGAATATGAATATTTCAATTAAAATTATATGTCATAGTTGAAATCTCTACGTATTCGTATTAATTTTATTACATAATTTTATTAGTACATATTTTATAATTCTAAGTCCAACTAAAGTAATATTAGCCTTACCATTTTTTTTGTCGCAATGAAAATCAATTTTACACTTAAAATATATAACATTGCATATATTTTAATCAATTTTATACATAAAGTATTAAAATTAATGGCATCAAAATATGTTTGATCAAAATTTAACCTTATTACATTTATGCACGATACATATCATTTTTATACGTTTATAGATATTAGAAATCATATGCTTTGTTATAAGCGTTTAAATTTCAAAATTGATTAGTCAATATATTTAATCATTTAATCCCGCGCTTGCCGCGCGGGAATCAAAATCTAGTCCTTAGTTATTTAAAGAAAATTTAATTATGCCGATACGTTTTCCTACGTTTAATCTCTCTCACATCTTCATCATCGACATCTCGTCTTATGTATATACAAAATTGTACTTCACAGACAATTTGTCTAAGGACTTAAAAGTTATAAGAATAAATATTATTACAAGAAAACAAGTCACTTTTCAACCATTTTTCCAGTTACAAAAATGGTCGGAAATATTTCTAACGAAATACCATCCAATGCGAATAAAAAGTGATCGGAAAGTACGTAGTTGTGATTGGAAAGTAGTCAGAAATTTCCAAGCAAATTTTGACCAAATTAGAGTCGGAACCAATGGTCCGAAACTGGTCAGATAGTGGAAGGCAATTTATATAATATAACGTAGATCTAAATTTAATATCAAACACTTCATCTTCACGTCCTCTTCTCAAGAGGCAGCGCGGCCATTTTTCGACCACTTCATCGTCACTTGGGGTACTCCATCTTCACTGAACGAGGTCGCTCTTCTCCGTTTCATATATTATGGATTTCGATTTTTAAACAATTAATGTGCTCTTCTTCACTAGACGTTTACACATTGTGAGGAAGATATGCAAATAATAGTCATATAAAATATAGTTACACGATTATGAATATGTATGTGTGCATTTGTGTAATCATTGAACTCATAAAAGAAAAATGCTCAAACACGTTTCGTCTAAATCACTCTTGAGAGAATTATCATGTTATGGTGATATCTTCACGGGAAAGCTGAAGCGTCTTTTCAAAATATCTCATCACGATACCATCACAATAGCTTCGACTTTTTAATCAGAGATACAGAGATCAAATTTATTAGTAATCTCACATTCAATAACCTAATGTAGTTCTCTC